GTGAGTCCCCAGTTGAGATGTTTAGAGAAGTTAGTCAGCCACAAACTGTAGTGCCAGCAGATGGCTCTGAAACAGAGCTGTAAACCAAAAAATGATCTGTCTCCTCTATCTAGAATGTGGGTTAGCTCATGTACCCAAATCACTCTTCGCCCCTGTGTTATTTAAAACAAATAGATTCACTTTTTTACTCGTATGGATAACACTTCTGGATTATTCATTTTAAATGATAGAGAGTGGATTTATTAAACAAATACATGTATATCATACACTTATCTTGAATTAGATTTCTCTTCGAAAAATATTCAGAACTGAGTGCAGTGGGAGATTTGCATGATTCAGGAGTGCAGCACTGGGTAATGTTAATGGAATGTTAAAGTTCTGATTCAGTTTGATTAGTACTGAGTTAACCTGGATAAGATTGTAGGGATAAAATCTTACATTCTCAAAGTCATCTCAAAGGAAAAAAGAGTCAAGCTCTAATCAGCTATACTCTATCAATCCATATAAACTGATGACATCACATTTAAAAACCCTTTCTAGAAGACAGCACCTGCAAATGTGACACCTTATAATGTCACTTAACACAAAAGTGGAGTTAGATATAAAGATAATTCTTCTAGGATGTTTTCATATGGGCCTTTCAAAGGGAGCTTTAGCTGCATTTCAAAGCATTAATGCTATTAATTAAACTAATGTCAAACCTCATTTTCAATGTCTTCAGTAATGTGTCTCTAATTTAAAAAATGATACACGTGTACCGAGTGATCTAGTGACACTGTGCTAAGTTGGAAATGATCTAGGTTTAGGGCCAGAGCTGATCAAACTCCAGGGATGACAGTGTGGAGAGAAAGTCAGTTTTGTATGCTAGCTGTTCAGCAACCTTTCAGAAATTATGTGTCAAGTTGGTTCCATGCTCTTGGCTTCTGTTTGCTGAAACACACTCTGCTCAATCAACAGCCCTGTAATAAAGCACATGTGCCCTGGGAGCATCTGCATCCTCAGAGATTAATACAAGTCTTAACTTTTCCAGAAACACAATTTTCAAGTAGAACTCCACAGCTGGCAGTCCTGTGATTTGTTAGTTGTAGATTACCACAGGCATATGCAATGGACAATGTATGTGCCTTGAAAAACGAGGCAATTGAAACAAATTCACTACTGGTTCAGGATGGTTAATTTTTAGCTTATAGCTCAGGATCACACAAACTTGATTATATTGCTTCCTTGAATTGCTGCCACCATTCCAAACTAAGTTCCTATTCCTTCCTACAGCAACAGATAAGGGAGATTTCTAATGCTAGTTGTCCTTCTGACACATGGAATGTAAATTAAACTTCCCTGCACAATTGAATTTACAGTCTTCAGATTTTGCTTCATTTTTAAGTTTCAGATAAATTAAAAAAACAAGTCTGAAAAATTTAGACTAAAAAGAATGTATTGGAGAAAGTACTGAGCAATTGAAAAAGTAGGATTGTAATGGAATTTGTGTTTCAAACCTGTGTAGTCATTGTTCCCAAAGTAGACATAAGAGAGTGTATATAAAATATACACACCCTTACAGTCAATGTAATATATGTATTTTTATTGTGTGAGTTACCATTTTTAATACAGTTGAGATACTGTATGTGTAAAACAGGAGCTGGATTTTCCATTTTTTCCCCTTATTCAGGAACAGAACAAAAATAAATAAAGAAAAACATTGAAAAAACAAAGTAAAAGAATATTTAGGGGATATCAGAATATTTTGATTACATTTCACTTCAGTTTTGGCCTTCTCAAACATAAAAAAAGGAAAACAAAATTAAAATTTTGAAATATTCCAATCCAAAAGTTTCAAATGGGCCATTTCAAAATGATCAAAATTACTTTTTCAAGATAAAATTTAATCAATATCTACATTATTTCAGTTGAACTGGCATGTTTCATCAAAATGTTATACTATTAAAAAATTTCTAACCAGAGCTATCTATGGCTTGTATTAACACAACTACATCATTCATACATCCTTTTGTGTGCCTGATCTTACTGTAAAATACATCTTAATCCTCATTTATACAGTGCTCATTCCAAAAATGCCAGTGTTCAGGGAGAAAATAGAAATGCAAGTTCTATTTTATTTTTATGATACCTAATCTCCAACCGCAGAAAAGTGTTTTATTTGGACTATTGAAAACTTATGTTGTGAGAAATAAATTTTTGTCATTTTATCATTTACTAACTCTGCTGTAAAATAATCAACCAAATGCTGACTTTGTTGTTACCTTATTATTCCCTGATCATAAAGCTCATTGACACCAGTGGGAATCTTTTCTTTCACATCAAAGGGCTTTGGATCAGGCTGGGTATGCAATTTGTTGCCTTCCTGGAAGAGATACAATTTGCATGGCCTTTACACTCAGTAACCATGTTCAGACTAGGTCAAATTGTATACAAATTGCTTGCCAATAACAAATTCTTTTAAAAAATGGAGTGCTTTGGAAAGGATGAATATTGGCTGTTTGGTTCCTGCTCAGGTAGAAAAATGAATATTGATTGTTCATGAATGAGAAAAGGAGGTTCAGATCTTATGCTCCATTTAATGGGCTTTTACTTATTTCTTTTAGTATGATCTATTAGATGGTATTAATTGTACTTTTTTTTCTTTTACATGCACATTATGTCATACTCTGTGGGTCTTAACTTTTAGGGCAAGTCTCCCAAGAAAGGCACAGGACTATTGTCAAGGAAAGTGTGTGATGTGTTCTCTCTGTTTATTTTAAAAGCTCTGGCTATCAGCCCCTAATCACTGGAGCTTATGCAGCTGTACCATGCACATCTGAGAGGCAGCAAAATAAAGTGGAGAGCTGGAGCTCCGTCACTTGGGCTCTCATCCTCACCCCTCATCCTTCCATTCCCTCCTGGAGGCTGCTCCATCTGCCAACCCTGGAATGGCAGCAGCTGTGTAGAAGGAAGCGTGGCAATGGGGCATTGAGTCTACTATGAAAAGTGATATTGATAAATATCACTTTTCACATTGACACCCTTTTTTGTGTGTTGCTGCTGGCATGGTGCTGCCTTCAGATCTGGGTGTCCAGCTCTCTGCTTTGCCTTCACTGGATGATGATATGTGTAGTTGGGAAGGGAGACAGAAATGACGACACAAGGAAAGGGGGGACCTAATCAAATAAATTGAAAACCATTGCTCTAGAAGGATTACATAAGCCTAGTATACTAAGAGAAATAGTTTGTAGATTTAAAATAGAAAAGTACATTAGAGTAGATCATCTTGTCTGCCCGTCACTTTTTTTAGTTGTATGTAGCCACACAATGTCCAACCTAACTTTCTTACTTTATCAGCAGACAATCCAGTGTTTAGCAAGGATAACCAATTGAAAATTGGCCCTTTCTTTCTCTGGCACTTAGCCTACCTGCTTCAAGAAGCAAAATAACTTGTCAGATGGAACTACGTGAACTGTTAACCAAATCCCCCCCGCAAACTACCAGCTTTAAAATGTCAGCCTTTGTAACAGATTTTTCACAGATTTGTTGGGAAATTTCTACTCCCACCAAGTTCCAAAATTTGTGTAAACAAATTCTCCTGTTCCTATATAGCTACTTTTCTACTATTTTACAAACCAGAACAATAGACCTTGCTTATTTTACTGGTTGTATCTCTTTAATTAGAGCCCAGTCATTAAAATCAATATGAAATGAAGGCACTCAACACCTTCCAAGAGTGCTCAGTACATTACAGAACTGTGATTTTAGTGAATTGCAACTTGCCAAGGGGATTGGTGAGCAAAAGGATGAGGTAACTGCTTCTAAGCCAGAACAAGTTGATAATGGCAGAAAGCCATTATAATCTGAAAACTGGCTAAGTGGCCTCACTGCTGATGAAATGGGTTCTGTATTTCTGGCTTCTTACATTGTGCTACTTAACATGTAGATGAATGCTTCAGATAAGTAGGAAGTTTTTAGTGGATAGATGAACAAACCAAGATGGCTCTGCATTTTGCCACCTTTCTTGACAAGTTAAGCAGAGAGGCATGAGAAGAATGGTTTCAGAGATTGAATTATCTTTATACTGTATGGATTTTCTGAAGAAACTATGTTAAAGTTCAGTGTTGAGGAGGGTACATTTGTGTTATTTGTGCTATATCTTTTCCTTGGTCTCTTTCCAATGAAAATAACCCAACATTTCTGTCAGTGCAAATATGTACTTTAGCAAATTAAAAAAAATAGAGCCCTAATTCTCATTTACTATAAAGCCTCTTTACAAAACTTGAGCAGTGTAAAGGAGTCTTAAAACTGGTTTAAATGTAATTTTTGCCACTTGCAAGGCCCTTTGATGCTGTAAAGAGCCCTCTGTATAAATGAAAGTTAGGCCCAAAGTACTGTATATTGAAGTCTCACAACATATCCAAGTGGCCCAATTGCTTTTAAATACATACATTTACATTTTGAAACTTTTTCTCTAGTTTACTAAGGGTCTATGCCCAAGAGCATTTTTCCAGCTGTGATTGATTGGCAGTGTTAGATAAAGAAACGGTGTAGCTTCCAGAGGCATACCTTGTATTTCTTCTGTGTACTAATGCTCTTTTAAGAGTGCCTTATTCGAGCAGATTCACTAGATGAGCTATGCCTCTTCTGAAGGTTTCCATGTGGCAGAGCTCTAATACATTGTTAACTGCACTTTGCATACTGTGACTCTTTCAGTGGTGATCAGTTTTTTGAAACTCTTTGCCATGGTGTTGTTGCTTCTCTGTGGAGCAACCATTTCCTCTGATGTGCACAAAGCTTCTCATTTTGTACGTCAGGACATCCTGCAGCAGCAATCAAACCATAGTCTTGATAGCAGCAAGCACAACGTGGCAGCCACCTAGTGTGCTCTGCATGGTGCCAGTTGCTACATGTAATTATGTTTTTAAAGGAAAACATCTGAAAAATTAATAAGGGCAAAAATGTCTATTTCTTTCAGGTTGAACAGAAACTGTTAAATCTTTCTGGTTTTTTTTTTAAAGGAAAGATTCTGCATGTGCTAAAGAAATGGAATCTGAATAATAAGACTCTTGTATATTTCACATCTGACCAGGGAGCTCATGTTGAAGAAATTTCTAACACTGGAGAAGTCCATGGAGGATATAATGGAATTTATAAAGGTGAGTTGCTTGTAATGATTTTCAGAAATGCGTCAAAATTTTTTATTGACTCTGCATAGTTTATAATATGTTGCAAGCCCAAAATGTTCAAACCTGGGTTCTTAACGTAAAAGTTCTAATGTGCTTAATCTGAAATTCAGATTTGGGCACTTAAACCTTTAAATGGTCTAATTATTAAAACTGGCGAGTATCTGCAGCTCCAGTGACTTTAGTGCCATTTGCAGGTGTTTGGTGCTTTTGAAAATGCTTTTTAAATAGACCAGTGAGCCACTCAGGAAGAGATGTCAGTGCAGCAGACTGATACACATGATTTGGTAGTAGAAAAGAGGAGTGAAGAGATAACGGTGTGTCATCAGTGACTGTAGGCTATAGTTGAAACCAAGCGAGTGAGGAAAACTACACAGAAAAAAAGGGTGTAAAGAAAAGGGGAGGGGGCTGCTGCAGCAGGGCCAATAGCCTCACTGAGTCCCTAGGGGAGGGTCTTCTGCCAAAGCAGGGGGCCTTCTGCTTCAGGCAGAAGGGACAGGGCTGGGACTAAGCAGCCCTCAGCACCGCCTAGAGAGCACCTCATTCACACAAACCCTGGCAGTCCTCAGTGCTGCCCAGAATGCATCCAGCAGCGATGTGAAGGGTCCAGGGCTCAGGCCACCGCCACTGCTGCAGGAGCTCCAGGGCCTTTTGTTTCACTGGATCCTGTGGCTTTTGCCCCCTTTGCCTCCCTCTGTCGGTGGACATGGGCCAGGGAGTGACTCTAACAGGATCTCCATGGAAAGCAGCAGAGGAGGAAGACCCAATGAAAGACATGCTTAAAAATACTAAAGAGATAGGAGGAGAACCAGGACAGGATAGAGTCACTGAAATCAAGGAAGCAGAAGAATTCAAGTGGCGGGTATGATTGGTGGCATCAAATGCGTGTAAAATTGATTGCTTTCTTACAGTACAGCTATTGAGACAATATATTCATACTTCAAATTCAACTCATTCTGTAGAGGCTTGAGTTTATTAGTAAGTTTACCTTGTTGTGATCAGACCTGCTGTTCATGCGGTCACACCGCAGGAGAGGAAAATAATGGTTTTACCAAGATAAGGTGCACATCAGAGTCGGAAAAAAATCCAGCAGACCAGATGATCTCTCTCTTTTTGTCTGTTCATATGTTCTTGACTTGCTGTCTCTTACTGACTCAGTTCACATCAGCTGATAGCAATGCAAAAATATGCAGATGAGTTTGGTAACTCATTTCCAACAAAATGGTTGTGATATGTGTATGACTATAAAGGACATAGTGATTCTGGAGAAGGGGATAATGAGAAGATGAAGAAATGTAGAAAAAAGGAGGGTGGGAAGGACGGAGGGAGATCACAGTCCCACTCACCAATAAGTTGGAAATGAAGAAGATGGGGAAATAGTCTGTAAGGCAAGAAGGTAAAGAAGAGGGACAGTGAGAGAACTGTTACTGTTCCACTGCCCTGTGAAGTTTCCATTAGTACCGGCTGCTAAAACAGGGCCCGATTGTTAACATGGAAGTGGTAGATACATGTCTTCATGATATCATGTCTGAAAAGTCTGCCTATGATGACGAAAATGATCTTAACTTCCTCAGAATAAGAGACAGATGCCTGATTTTTGTATAGACAGATTAAGATAGCCACACTCATACGAGAGAAATTAAATAGTTCTTTAATTTTCCTTTCCCTTCCTTTTCGGAGAGTGAAGAGACAGACTTGAAAAATCAATCTATAAATTTGCCAATTACTATTTTATAGAACAGGTAGCACATTGCTTTTGAATATGATTTCATAGATGCAGAATTAGAGGGAGGAAGGAGAGGATCCAGAAAGCAAAAAAGGTATAGTAGAGCCACTTTGTGAAGAAGCTATATAACTTTAATCTGTTTATGAAGTGTGTGAGAAATAATCCTAGATACTGATAGGGCAAAAATTGCTGCAATCACAAATGTACTGTAAGGTCACAGAATATACAATGGCTATTAGTTTACTGTAGAGAGAGACAGATGAGAAATCTATCATGAACTTGAATTAGAGCTCTAATAACACTTAGTCACTTGCAATATTCAAAGCGTCATAGGATTACACATCTGTATTTGTAGGCATGTCCTAATGTATTCTGGAAGCTCTAAAATGTTAACACTTCAAAATGTCAGACATAAGTGGGAGATACACTGTGGCTGCGTCTAGACTGGCATGATTTTGCGCAAATACTTTTAACAGAAAAGTTTTTCCATTAAAAGTATTTGCGCAAGAGGGTGTCTATACTGGCATATGCCTTTGCACAAAAGATTTGCTTTTGTGTAAAAGCATCAGTGTCAGTGTAGATGCTCTCTTGCGCAAGAAAGCTCCGATGGCCATTTTAGCCATTGGGCTTTCTTGCAGAAGAAATTAACTTGGCTGTCTACACTGGCCCTCTTGCGCAAGAATACTGAGCAGGAGCGTTGGAGTATTTGTGCAAGAACCACTGATTTTGTACAGTACAAAGTCAGTGTTCTTGCGCAAATACTCGCGGCCAGTGTAGACAGGTGGTAAGATTTTGCACAAAATCTTGCCAGTCTAGATGCATCCTGTGAGAAAGAAGATAAATATATTTTGAAATGTACCTTCCTTTGGAACTTTGATTTAACATAGAGTATTATATTATATTATATACCCTAACATAGAGTATTATATTTATAATTATCTAACAGTGAAGAATTTGAAACAGATGTTTATTGAATCAATACAGATCTAATAGCTAGTGTTGCCTGAAGTAAAAAACAGACCCTTTTGGGTTTTTTTAAATGGATTATTAAATGATTTAGAGATGCCCCTTAGGTAAGCTGATAAATGCACTAATATATTATGGAGGGGAAAATAAGCACTGTAATAAAATACATTTATCATGAAAGTAATATATTTAAAAGATCTGTGCAATCAGTGTAATTTACCCTAACAGATTGAAAATAGAATGGATTATGTTTTATCTTTCATAGTCTAGTCTAGAGCCCCAAATCAAAAGGCATTCTTTTTAACATTAAGATATGTCATGCTCGATTGTCAAAAGGTCAGGAATGGAAATGAACTATTGACACATAACTACTGGTAGTTATTTTTATGTGTGAAGACCTTCTTTGCATATACAATCATATACACACAAATTGCATTTGCATGACTGACCTTCTGAAAATCCTAATCTATTAAGCACTTCATATTAATATATTTAGAAAATTAACAACTAAAATCTATCCCTCTTGCTTTTGTAGATGCACGTATATATTGGAATTCCATACATCTGGTTAAAAGGAATTAAAAGGAAAGGGCATACTTTTCGAGAGGAGTATTGCAGTGTCTTTGCTAGGGAATCTCAATAGAATACCTTTCTGTGTATGAAAGTATGAGGAATAATCAAACCTCTTTAACCCTCTTATCAAAGCTGTAGCAGTCTGTTCAACATTAATTGTTTCAGCAAGACATCAAAAGCTCCCAACAGATCTTCACAATTTGACCTCAGTAATTTATCTTGATACACAGCCAGATTAGGATCAATAATAAAAGTTAAGGGCTGTTTAGATGGAGTGGCTGGCAGTAGCTAGCTAGATTGCAAAAAAAGTGGCATCACTATTTTTATTTCCTAAATGTCTATGTTCTGGTTGTAGCGTGATCTCTGAAAAGCTGGATGCAATGCAAGATTAAAACCCAGCATTGATATTGTAATTACCCAGCTCTTTGATGCTACCAGCAGATAAACAAATCCCACTAAAATCTTCACTGTACTCCTTTATGCTTAATGCTGTTACATAATAATCTGTGAATTTAAGGATTGCAGTTAGACTCGTGGCCTTGCAGCTTAATCACCCCTTTCCAACAGTAGCAAATATCAGATATTTCAAAAGAAGGTGCAAGAAACCCCACAATGTCCTCAGGGACAGCATTAACTGTTGTTATTCTAGATATTCTTGTTGTCCATGTAAATATCCAGTCTCTCTCTGAAGCTTGCTAAACTCTTAGCCTAAACTACATCCTGTGGCAATAAATTCCACAAATTAATTATACTGTATGTGGAAACATATTCATTATATAATTTTTTAATTGGTACCTTTCAGTTTAATTGAATGTCCCTTCTTTGTTTTGTTATAAATCTGTGAAAACAAAAGATCTCAGTGTCCCTACTGCAGAGACATCCCAAGAGAGGTGCAGGGCTTGTCCCCCTCTGCCTCAGGCTCTCTCCCACTCAGCCCTTTCCCCTAAGCCCCCACCTTGCTCCATTCTCCCCGCCTCTTTCATTACTGCTCTGCTCCCTCCCCACCCCCACTCCACCCATTCTGTGAAGCAGTACTGGGAGCCGGCAGAGTAGAACAGACTGGGCCCAGGTCTTTTTGCTTCCCACCAGAAGTATGAAAGCATTGTTCCTTGTTCTGTTGTCTGTGGCCACTGACAAGAAGCTTCTCTCCATCCTTTTTGGAATTTCCCCATTCAGCTATAGATTGGATAAATAGACTCTCTAAGGTGGATAGAAAGCTGTCTAGATCGTTGGACTCAACGAGAAGTGATCAGTGGCTTGATGTCTGGTCAGCAATTGGTATCAAGTGGAGTGCCTCGAAGGTCAGTTCTGGGGCAAGTTTTGTTCAACATCTTTATTAATGACCTGGATGAGGGGATGGATTGCACCCTCAGCAAGTTTTCAAATGACACTAAGCTAGGGGGCGAGGTAGATACACTGCACGGTAGGGATAGGTTCCAAAGTAACCTCGACAAATTGGAGAATTGGGCCAGAAGAAATCTGATGAGGTTCATTGAGGACAAGGGCAGAGTTCTGCAATTGGGATGGAAGAAATCCAAGCACTGCTCCAGGCTGGGGACCGACTGACTAAGCAGCAGTTCTGCAGAAAAGGACCTGGGGATTACAGTGGATGAGAAGCTGGATAAGTCAATAGTGTGCCCTTATAGCCAACAAGGCTAACTACATATTAGGGTGCATTATAGGGAAACGCTTATCAGACAGTCGACAC